TTAGCATCAAGAGACTAAGACAGCAGAATATTTTACAGAGCTATTCTGTATTACACAGGAATATATAGAAAATATATAGTACATGGGAAATCAGTCTTCCTTCCATCAGGGGAAACACACATAGTTCACACACGAAAACTGCTGCCCATGGTCTGTGTGAATGTGCCCAGTTTGCTTCTCATCTTCCTGTGCTTTACAAGATTACAACTGGAATACAAAGACTCACTTATCAGGTTTTAATTTCATTCAGTTACTTAATCAGCAAGAATATAAATCACTCCTTGGGTGAGGAATACTTCAGGGGAAAGGAATACAGCAAGGAGTCACGTTTGTTTTGTTGGTTTTCTTCACAGCTCTTCTCTTTTCTCTTGTCACATCTCTACCTTGTAAATTTCTACTTAAAAAGCAAACCCAAATTTTCTTTTTACAGTTTAATCTCATCTTTAATGTTGCTGTGGGCTTAATATTGAGGAAGAATTACAAAAGAAACGTTCTACTTTTTATGAAATATTAAACTTACAATTTATCTTTTAATATCCACTTCAAAGACTGTTTGACAGGAATAAATAAATGAGAGCTTCTTGGCAAGAAAAGCTGTGATTTATGAAACATTTTATTCATTCCTATTCCTAAGTATTTTCTTGAGAATATCACTAACATCTGGAGCTACGCAGTCCTATCCAAACATTCTGCTCATACTCAATTAGAAAATTATATCAATAATAATGTAAAATAAATTACCTAGCTTCTCTTCCTGGAGCATAGATTTCCATGTTTGTCAGAGCAACTATGTGTACAAACAGCACTGTAGTGTTTTTCATTAAGCCTCAAAGTCAATTAAGCTACGAATTGGAACGATCATTCCTCCTTTGCAAAGTATTGATATTTTTTTCTTGGCTGCTTTCAGGCCTTTTCACTACTCAAGGAGAGATTTATGTTTGACAATTTCTTTCTGATTAAAATGAATCATAACTCTAGAATTCTAATTTCCTCTTTCCCGAGCAAGAAATTATCAAACAGTTTTAAATTGATATTGAACGTCATCGTGCATGAACATTCATTTTCAAGATATCAAATGTAAAGCCAAACTGATCTCTCTCTTTATCTGCTGCTTTTACATACTTTCTCTTCCTTTCTCTGTCTACATATATGTATATAAAACATTAGATTGTACCAATATAACTAACCATATCTCTCCATAAAAATGATTCTTGACAGAAGAGTCACATTAAGACCAGTCACATTAAAAATGTCACAATGCTTTACACAAGGCAATTACCCTTTATTTGCAATATTAGCAAAATTCTGCTGTAGTTTAGAAAGAAAATAACTGGAATATTGCAGGTGGCGAACAAATATCAGTTATCACAGTAATTAGCAAGATTATATGGGTAATCCCTACTCAAACAGCTCAAACTCTCTATAAAATAGCTCTTCAAGCTTAAATTATTAAAAACAAAGTTTCCTAGATTTGTCTCAACAGCCAGTTAGGATCAGTTCAAATTTGCCTTTTAAACGTAATAGCAGCTAATCTAAAAAAAATCTGATTTTCTCCCATTATTCCACCTGCTGTTTAAATCTTAACAATTGGATTTTCCCAAGCCATTTAGCTGTCTCATTTTCTCTTTATAAACTTGATTTTCAGCTTTCACTAAAAGCAGATTGAAACAGCATTTTATGCCTAACAATTTACGTAGAAGTACAACAGGCCCAGAGCAGAGCTGTGTCTCTGCAGACACTCAGTCCATGGCAGACACAGATGACACAAACAGACCCACTAAGGGAACTTGGATTTTCCCAAGCCATTTAGCTGTCTCATTTTCTCTTTATAAACTTGATTTTCAGCTTTCACTAAAAGCAGATTGAAACAGCATTTTATGCCTAACAATTTACGTAGAAGTACAACAGGCCCAGAGCAGAGCTGTGTCTCTGCAGACACTCAGTCCATGGCAGACACAGATGACACAAACAGACCCACTAAGGGAACAAGCTCCATGGTGTTCCTAAGTAGTGTTATGTACACTGTACTTTATTTTTAAATGCTGCATTACACTAGGTTTGACTTGGGTTTGGTTTGGTTTGTTGAGGCTTGGCAGAAGTGGTGCTTGGATTTTTAAGAATTACGTTTTTTTCCCATGTATTTTTCAGGCTTTAGTTAATACAGATCATCAATCAGATAACTGTATCAACATTTGAAATACTAAGTGGTTTCATGACACCTCTTTAATATTTTTGTCTTGCAGAATATGCACAACTTTCTTTTGCATCAGACAATGAAGAATGAAAAATGAAATAATCCGTGTCCAACATTTAAACCTTGAGTACTAAAGGATACTGTCTCACAGAAAAGTCAGCATAGGATACACTTTGGTTTGAGTAATATACAAGTTTTTATAGAAATACCAATTTTATTACCAATGGAGTAGTAAAACTCCACACATGGCAAGTAAACACACTAGAACTCTACATGGCAATGATTTTTTTTTTTTTTTTCTTTTTGCTCTAAGAGCATATATTAAGCAAATTAGTAGAACATGTGGTTTGGACACTCAGTTGAAGAGTAGGAACACATTTACCAAATTTCCACCCTTCAAATTACAGTAGGAACAAGCTATTTACACTGCAACTCAGAGATTTAATCTCAGAGATTTACAAGAACTCATAAAACAAGTAAGTATCATTATTGCTACCTGAGCAACATGAACATGAGGTTTCGTAACACTGGATCCAAGTCAGCTCTATTTTTTTAAAACTGATCCCAAATTGAAAAGTAAATCAATTTCTTTTCAATACTTTTGCTCTCCTTAGGAACAAAGAAGACAAAATACTGTGGATGCTTTGAAGTTCTTTACAGCACAACAGTTGCAGCTACATATAGAGAATTCATCTGAACCACACGCAGAGGTTGCTGACATTTTTTTTAAGCCCTTTAATTTTAGGAAAGAATTTTCAATTAACAACTTCCTGCTCTGTAGTTACACCTATAAGCTAAAAATTAATATTTTACATCAATATTTTAATATTAGAAGCAAATCAATCAAATTAATCCTTGTCTCTCTCTTTTCAGTAACTGACTTTGGGGCAGGTTTTTATGTTTGTTTTCCTCAAGACTGCTTACAATTTGATGTAAATTTTAAGCATCTTGTAATTCATCAACTAATTCTCTCCTGGTTACACACTCCAAGTAATTAAAGTTCAGTAATAACTTATTCTTTCTGCTCCAGCACCTGCATTTCATTTGTTTATTTTCCCAGAGTCATAAATCTGAGGGACTGTCAAAGTGCCATAATATTAGTGCAATAATCAAAGTTAATTAGTCCCTCTCAATAAACAACAACAAAGCTATTACAAAGATGCATTGAAGGTTTTCCAGCTTCCCACGTTACAGATGAGACTCCTTTTCTGAACAATTAGAATTTGAAAACTGCTAGTAAATAAACACAGAGTTTCTGAAGTAATTCGACCTTCAGTGATCTTCATTCAATTAACGATTCATTAACTTTTGGTGAGATAATAGAGACAGTAACCCAAGTATTCCTGAACTCCCATTGCCTTCAAAGTGCTCAGAGATATGGCAAGAATTAAGGGGGTAAAGGGATATTTTTCAAATAAAAGGTACTCAAGTACTGCCTTATTTTGGTTACATAAACCCAACTATACAGCCAAATTCAGATGGACTGGAGGTATTAAATTCAAACAACAGAGTATCACCAAATGCACTTCTAGTGAAAGAGAATAGACAAATGAACAAGTGAACAGAAGCAACACACACTATGTCTGCCTCTGTTGGAATCCTCTCGGAATTTCATGCTATTGAAACAAAAACCAAAATGACAGCTTTAATGGGAAGCATTGAAGCAACTAGGAGGATATTTTTCTCCTTCCAATCCTTTACTGTAGATCATCAATATCATCTGGGCAAGAGAAACAGGCATGTTTTTACACAAAACTTGTGGTTACAAAAATTAGCAATATTACAAGCATCACTTCTTTGGAAATACTTGCAAATAAGCACTGTTTGCTTTGCAATAATAAATATTCTAATTATCTGTAGTCTACTTGTGTGCAAATATTAATTCCACTGAGTGCTCTCCCATATCATCTGGGAGCAGCTGAAATACTTGGAGAGCTTGGGAAATAAAGTTCAAACACTCATCACTAATTTTTGCTGGAAAGCAATAAAAATCCAATAATCTGATCCTGTGGTTTCTTACACAGATAAACTGTGTAGGACCATGCCACCAGATTATTTCCTGGAAGTCAGCAGTCCCACCAACCTCAGACAAAAGTAACCTGCAATCCTTACTAGCAGGTAAATGATTAGGGGAGGAAATAATTAAGAACACTGGATATATTTTAATAAGGGCCTCACAACATCATTAAAAAAGGGGGGGATGAGGGAATGGAGGAGCAACAAGAGAATAGATGGGACAGAAGAGGTTGTATGACAAAATGGAAGAAAAATGGAAGAAAATGGGAAGAACCGAGAAGGAAAAAAACCATTGAGACAATGTGGCAGCAGAGCCTGGGCCTGGGGGACTAGGTCAGAAAAGGAGGGAAATAGTCTTGGGTTTGAAAAGTGTAAGAATGACCCTCTGAAATCTCTCAGAGCAGAAAAACTATGGGCAAAACAGCCTCTGTCTCTAGTATCCAACTGGTTATCTTCTCTTTCAGTTAGTTATAAACTTTGGTTCTGGAAATGTCCTTTCCCATGAAACATGCCTCTGGTTCTTTCAAACATTTTTGGCCTTACAAAGCATTCATCAGTAACATGGATAACAGCACATCAAGCCTTACACTCCAACACACTCATAGAAAACAAAAAATCTCTATTACCAATGTACCAGTGACTGAACAGGATCTTAGAAAATAAGACAAATGCCTTTTTACTTAGATTCTCACACGGCAATGCCACATCTATTGAACTGCTTGTACTGCACAAAAGACTTCATGTCTTGCAAAACACAGCTTAGTGTTGGACACTATGTACATCCACTTACCCATTCCCCAAGGATGCGTTGCACAGCGTCATTGCCTCTCGATGGATTTCTGCAGGCCAGGATAACACATGCCCCATGCAGTGCAAGAGACTTGGCAGTTTCAAAACCTAGGATAAAACATTTTCCTAGTCAGAAATAGATCCCAGCAACAAACCAGAGCTATAGAATTCTAGCTCAAAAGATGAGCCACTCACTTAAGTACATCAAGGCTACTTGCAGTCTGATTACTTGTCTGAAAGTCACCTGGACTCAGCTTTTAAGAACACATATAAATAACAAAAAAAAGACACCTCAATTTGAGCAGGTCCTTGAGGCAATGATTGTATATATTTTGTGCAAAACAGACTTGGAATCTTCAAAAAACAGATTCAATTTCTCAACCTCAGTGTCTTAAGCTGTTAGAAGAGCAGGATTATCATAGAATCATGAATCATAGAATGGTTTGGGGCTGGAATGGGAACATAAAGATCACCTTGTTCCAATCCCCCTGCCATGGGCAGGGACACCTTCCACTAGACCAGGTTGCTCTGAGCCCTGTACTTTTTTGACTATGAAGAATGAGCCATATGACAAGACTGCAAAACTACTATGCCTGGCAACTTCACACTGAAAGTGATAAAGAGTATTCTAAAAATGAGCTCAGGGCTCTTTAGATGCACAGTTAGCCTTTGAGTCATCAATGTGAGGACCACCTGTGGCAGGGGAAACATCCAATGGGATGCATGAGGGAATCAGAATCAAAATCACATGGCGATAACAACTCCTTTTTCCAATGCAAACACCACCCAAACTGTAAGACACTGCTGCACAAAACCAGGAACCACAGAACTATCAAAGTGGTAAACCATTTCCAGAAGAGGGCTGTCAAGCCCATTCTCAGAAACTGTAATTCTGCCTAGGGACATCTGTAATCTACATGTATGTTTTAGTACCCACACCTGAAAATCTGTGCTAAAATCTTCCTTAAATTATCTGTGTAAAATCAACTCATTTTTTGTCCCATTATCAGCTGATATACAGAGAAACATTTTCTTCATTACAAATAAGCAATCATATACCGTGCAGCTTCGTTATATTGGTCATAGTGTCATAGGGATAAACAGGTCACTGGATGTACCAGGTGATATAGAAAAAGAATAATCCATGAAAAGCTCCCTCTTTCACAAAACTCACTCATAGGACTGAATCTGCAAGCACATTCTTTCTAAATCTGAAACCATTGGACAGGCAGCTCACACTTTGCTGTAATTAAAGTGCAGCCTGAACCTATATCCCCAGGTTCTTCCCTTTCATCCATAGAACAAAGTTTCACAGCGAATTTCTAAACAACTGTACACACCCTTTTAGTGCAATACTGTTAATGATTTCTTCCTCATTGTGAACCTGGACATTTCATTTCTCCTTTTGAAAAAGAGCCTTCAAATTTCAGATCAATTTCATTTTGTTAATTTAGGACTGGACTGCACTTTATAGTGACGAGTTCAAATTCTCAAACTGTCCACCAAGAGCTACAACTCTTTCCATGTGACATCACCTGCAAGTTTCGTAAGCTTTTGGCTTTGCTGTCCAATTCTCTGTTGCATAGAAGTTGGTCCAAAGTAAACTTTTAATTGGAAACAAGTCTGTGAAAATTTATACCAGGAGATGATGAGGTCTGGGGAAAGCAAAATGTCCATGAAGTGCAGAGAACTGAGCCAGAAAGTGGGTTTCTCTCAGGAGTGAGCTATTCTGTATTTGTGGGGTACTCAATGGTATCACTGTCCATCTCCACAGAGAGCTGTGACAATGACCATCTAGCTGAAAGAGGCACAATGTAGCTTAATGACTTCAATTAGCCAAGCTTAAACTAGAAAATGATGAATCAAACTGCCTGACAGTTTGGGTATGTGAAGAAGTCAAAAGAGAAGAGCTATTTGTTTTAGCTTTATGACATTTAATGCATGTTCATGATTTCACCTTAAAAATTGTTTACCAAAAAGCCTATTAAGACAGGCTGATCTCACTTCCAAAACACCCTGAAGCAACAAAATCCAGTTACAGCACAAGACATAACTTACATTATAGAAACAACAGACACCAAGATGAATTTATAATACTTTCTGCAATTACATACTTACAGTATTTAAGTCCAAGCAATTTTCTTGTATCTCTTTTAAAGCCATTCACTGCACCAAGCAACTTTAATTACCTGGGTAATTCATTGCATGCACATGAACTCAGGCACAGCGTATGCAAACATTTCTCCTGTTCCTAATTCCACTTTAAGCATATTTAACTAGAATTTTTCATGTAACTAATACAAAACATGTTGTACCAGAGTATGGTTAGCTAGCTGTTATGCTTCTTGTTTTGCATGAAAACACACTTATTTTGACTAGCTCACTATATTATTAAAAATAAGTTGGAATGCCTGGGAATAGTTTATCTACTGTTAAACAAAGACCCAGAGCTGATAACCAGGTTAATTAGCTAAGCATGATGATGTTTTGCTAACTCTACCCCATGTCACACTGTGCAAAATAATAAACTCCATGCCATTCTCTGCTGTAGTTAATAACTTGATTCTCACATAAACTAAGTTACATGCTGTGAATTGAGTTTATTTTAATACCATCTTGACTTTTCCCTGCAATCTTGGAGATGAGTGGTAAGCACTTCTCTTTAGGATGTATTTGCTCTTTTCTGAGCTTCCAAAGAATTATTTTTCACCCTTAGACAGACATGTTCTGGATCTTTCCATGAAATCATGTGCTAAAAATAACCTCCATTCAAATCCAGCCACAGGTCTAAGTGCTGATGTGTCTCCCCATCAGTCTCATTTTAAACTACTAATTCACAAACACTATTGCACTGTATTTAGGACAGCTGGATATATGCAAAAGGAGAAAAACAAACTCAGGTTTCCCAAACCACAGAAAGGCTTCCATTCAACTACTGAATTACTGGCTATAGGTAGGACTGTACAGAACTATTACTACTTGATCTTTCTATCACTTTGTGTGGAGCATAATTCATAAGGCATCTTTTCAGACCATCTACCAAATGACATACATCAAGAAGAGATAACACAATGTCTCTCTCCTTCACAGAGCTCACTGGAGAATAAGTAGGATCTACAAACCAACTTCCTCACTGTCAGGACTGCAGTATTTTTTTATATGTCCTTAAAATACACCTTCATAGACCTGAAAATCCTCATGCAGTACAGTTATGCACCTTTACAGTTTAAGAAAGAGCTATGCAGGAGCTTAGAAGAATGCTGAAGAAGAAGTTTGGAAGCACCCCAGTATCCAAGTCTTTTCAGAGCTTTAGCTCTTTGGGTCTTCTGCAACAGCTAATGCTTCTTTCTTCCCCCAGTGTCAAAAAGCTTCAACAGGTGGGAAAAAGCTTCTAGGCAGAGTGAAAAAAGCTTTCTATCAGATTCACTGTGTTAAACTAAGTTTGCCAACAACATTTATTCTTCAGCAAAATATAGCCATGTTTTCAATACACCATAAAGTTTAAAACCTCAGCCTAACACAGGGATTGACTTTAGTACAAAACTATTTAAACTCTATAAAGAAAAATCTTACCTCTCTATAAAAACTACCACCGAATCACAATCCACACTGAGTGTGGTTTCGTACACCAGAGTTAAACCACATGATCATAAACACTCTAACAGTAAAACCTTTTTTAAAAAAATCACAGTAGGATTCAATAGAAAGAGAAATCTAAATGACTATGTAAAGGACATGCACAATTAAGGAACTAGTGCAGAATTAATTCTACCCACAAAAGTAACTCTCTGGATCTCAGAAGAACTAAATATTTCTTAAAATTTCACTTCATGTGAGACTGCCACTACTTAGTGGCACAGACAGCCCTTTAGCACTGGAGGGACATTAACAGTAGTGATAGTAGCTTCCTTTCCAGGAAACAAATTGTAACCTGCAGTAGTTAATCTTGCCTGTACCACAGTCCTAGGGTATTGCAGCTCCAGAGCATTAAAACCAGGTAAAACAGATAGCACAGCCCAGTGACAAGTTACATACTAGTTGGGGGTTTTGTAAACGTAGGAAAAACTACACTAGAAAAACAGCATAGGATTATAGAACTGAGAATCAAAGACAGCCAATTACAAATAAAATAGATCCTTCCCTCAAATGTAACGGAACAAAATGATTAAATAATGTCCACTTTGAAAAAGCAATCATTGTATTGTATAGGGTATTCAAGGCCACTATGTTTTATGAAACTAATTTCAAGTGATTGCCCTGGAAATCTCAAGTTTGTGCTGAGACCAACTGCTCTTGCTGCTGGTGCTGTAGCTGAATGAGCTCTAATCTGACACTCAGAAGTGAAAATCCTCTTTAAGAATGAGGCATACATGAGGATAAACATTATGGCACAGCTCTACATCAGCAGCTAACCTAAAGGACTGGTAGCAGAACTAACAAGAGAGCTATGGGATTTGCTAGAGACTTCTCAAAGCCTTCAGCCCTTTCAGCATGCTTTTCGCAAAGACTCAGAAATTAGCACACAATTTCATTCTCCATCTTCTAGGATCATTGTTCAATTCAATATTCTGACATTCTTGGCTATCTGCAGTTGACTACTATCACTGAATTTTGGGGCAGACTTTCAGTTGAGTCTCAATTAAGAAGCAGTTAGCATCGCTCAGTTAATGCCAACTGCATTGTGTCAACACACAGCAGATGAGTACATGGCTCTGTCAGATAGTGCAACCTCCCCTGGAAAACAGAGAAAGGGATTCTCTGAGTGCAAAAGTAATTCAGTGATGTCCTGATTAAATAGACAGCACATAGCCCATTGATCATTGGGGGACATTTCATAAAGAATTTGCATGAGGCATTTACACATTTTGAAACATTCCTTTGTTTCAAACATAAGGAGTTTGAATACACAAGAAGAAACTCAAACACATTTCTAGGGCAACAGCAAGTTTTCTTCAGCTACTCTACCTTCCCCCAAAAACTCCAGGATACCTCGGATCTCTTATTTACAACACATTTGAAACACATTGTCATCTTTCTTTGCTCGTTGCAAACGCCTACAGGGTTCGCTCACGTTTAGTTTCTAGAAAATTGTTTCTTCCTTTCTATCCACAATAGAAGAGCTCTGGAGACCCAGAGATCCTAAAACACCTTCATGTGATCTTGAACAACAATTTAAAACGGTGCTGAGTCCAGCCTTCCTCAACCCCTGCATCACAGGCAGTGTGAATGTATATTTTCTTTTAATATAAAGTGGATAAGACACTTGTACATAATAATTCTTTGATTAACTAATAGCCAGAAGAGCAATTTTTTCCATATATATTACATTGGAAGCAAAAATGAAACTTGCAACAACTGGGAAGTTTTTTGTTTGTACAGTTGGGTTCTTCTTGGGAAAGTTCAACAATTTTACATAAGCTTCATAAAGCAAAAGCAAGTTTTCTACATTAATTCTGCAACCCAGAAAATATGAAATCTTTATTAAAACATTCTTGGCACTAAATGTAAATGAAAAAGCACATTCTGGCCTCTTTCACTCACGGGCAGCAGAGTCACCAGTTCAGGAATTTGCATTTAAACTCTGACAATGTACAAAACACACAAGTTAAGGGAGCTCCTTCCTTCAGGCAGAAGTGACAAAAAGGATAACATAAAGAAGAGGACATTGTTTTCCTGGGTTTTTGACTCCTTGCTCTAAGTTCTTTCCAGAAAAATTAAACAACTTCTCAGACACTTCCTCTTGAACTAAGCATAGGCAAACACATAGCACTTAATTTTACTTTGGTTTAAGAACCTTGGGAGATGAAAACTATTCTCACTGTTTCACCAGTGTGTTCCTACAGTACAAACCCAACACCTTACCCAGAGAAACTGGACATGCACAGACCCAGCAGAGTCTCAGCAGTAAACATCAAACAGGGGCCAGTAGGAATGCAACTTTTAAACCTTTAACATTCTGATAAGGCACAATGATTTTTACTCAACTGCCAATTCCAGTCATGATCCAAATCATACTTGATTACTTTTAAATGCAGAAATAACAGAAGTGCCACAAAAATAATTTTCCAGGTAGAAAATGTTACT